AAAATATATTTTAATAAAATTTGTCTTTTGCTTTTCTTTGCCATATTTTTTTATTGGTGTTTTATTTTGAGAAAAAGCAGATGTATTTTGACATACCACTTTACTTATAGATGTATTAGGTACTTTTTTCATGTCGCTAAACTGAGTGATATAAAAAAGCATGTATAAATATGAGATTTGACAAAAATGTATGCCGTAGTTCGCAATTCGCGGTTATTCAAGGTTACACTAATCTGTCCAGTGGCGAACTATGAAGATTATGAAAAAAGAGTTAAAAAAAAATCAGTTTTCCTAACAGAAATTGAGAAGATAAACTTATGATCTGGATTTCTAAAAGACAAAGTTATCCTCCATATAAATATGACTCACATTCAAAGTTACATTATATTTATACTGATTTTTTTTTCAGGATTGCAATGAGTGAGATGGCCATTAAAACACATTGTAACTTTTAAGTTCAATGTTGAATTAATGGTACTGGGGCTTTCTTAAGACTAATTATATCGATTCATTTTCTGGACGGTCTTATTATAAAACTGTACTCAAGCCAAGTTTTTTCTACTACAAAGTATGATTACATTTAAATTGACTAAAGGTCAATCATTTTATTGCTATTAAATTTAGTTGTTAAATTCATTGCACACAACTATTGATCCAATTTAACCCAGTAAATTTTTTTCACTAGTTTTTATTAATCTTTAAAATAGCAATAAAGCCCTAAAACGCGTGCCTAAGAAACTAAAATAGAAATATTAGTAAAAATCTTAGATAGAATGCTATAAAATTAATTAAATAAGAAATTGATTGGCCAAAAAACTTAATACCAATTAGATATAGAATAAAATTCAAAATAACTGTGTTTAATATTTTATGTAACGAACATTCGTTTTAATAGAGTTAAAACAAAAAAGAATTTAATTCAGCATGTATCTACATAATTATTTAGTTAAAAAAATTTATCACCGACTGATATATTTCAACATTTGTTGACCTTTCCATAAAAATAACGAAATAAGTAAAACCTAAGAATAAACACAACCAAAATATTAAAAGAATATTAACTTTATCATATGGACTAAGACTTTATCTTCATATGTAAAATTATAAAAAAATTCTTGAGAGATGAGGTTATATTTTTAATTAGATCATAGTGGCTTATCTTTTAGCCACAACAAATTTGGTAAACATTTAAAATCATATATCTAAATTGGCTTGCATTTAAAAATGCACTGGGCACAATTTGTTATGATAGTAATAATTAAATGCTATAGTAAGCAATGTACAGATACATATCTACATATGGAAAACAATACAAGACTTGTATCTTCCAATCCAATGTTTACCCCGTGTGATATATAATATATATACACCATATCCTTGACATCACTTTATATATTTATCTATTTAGCAATACAAAAGTGCCAATTACAGGATTTCAGAAAAATTAAAACAATGACATCAAGATTACTTTAAAACACAACATTCTGTTTCACCAGCTGCGATTGGTGCAATTTTTCATGAGTGTTTACGTTCTGAAAGTCTTTAGAATTATGTAAAATAAAGTATAAGTTTATAGCAGCCTTAGTTATTCAACAAATATGTTCATCAAACGATTATTTAGCACCAAGGATATTAAAAAAATTATTCATCACTTATATAATCAAAATTTAGAATAGGTTTGCATAGAGCGTACGACTTAATTTTACATTTGCTTACATTCAGAGATAGATATTATTTCAACACCAATTGTTCAAACTTAAATATAAAATAAGAATAGATGAAATTCCTTTTTTTCATGAATTAGTGAGAATTGCTTGAAGATGTAAAAATAACTGATCAGAGAAACCTTCATAAAGAATTTTCATTCTTTTTCACTAAAGAAGACGGACTTTATTATTGTTATTGTAATGATATAAAAGATTTGTTCGAAGAATCACATGCACACCTTCTGGCTGGCGGCTTATCATCGACAGTTCTTCAAAAAGCTTAAAAGCTGTCCTTCACAATAGAAACAAATTTGCTAGTCTTCCCTTGACTCATTCTGTGATGCACAAAGAAAATTACGATTCTGTAGTAAATACAGTAAGAGGGGATTTAATATGGTTGGTTTTCTGATGGAAATGCAAGGCGGGATAGTAAATATCCTTGCTACCTTTGCTTACGGGACAGTAGAGCAAACGCAGCACATTACTGACAGCATACATGGTCCAAGTGAACCAAGTTCCAGATAGGGAAACATGTCAAACGTAGAGCCTAAAGATTTATTGATGCCTCTGTTGCATACAAAATTAGGTCATGAAACAATTTGTGAAGGTTCTTAATCCAGATTCTGAAATTTTCCAATATTTGAAGAATTTTTTCCTGAAATTATACGAAGCCAAAGTTAAAGCGGGTATTTTTGTCGGATCGCAAATAAAGAAAATAATGGCCAGTAACGAATTCACACAGTTACTCAATACTCACAAAAAACAAACCTGGAACAGTCTTAAAGCAGTAGTTCATGGTTTCCTCGGAAACAAGCTAGCTGAAAATTATAAAGAATTGATTCAAACTATGTCTGAAAGTTTTAAAATCATGGGCTCCAGAACGTCCTTTAAAGTACATATGTTACATGCTCAGTTGGACCTATTCAAGGTTATCCTGGGTGCCTATTCTGAAGAACAAGGAAAGCGTTACTAATATCTGGAATTTCTAATGGTAATGTTCCGAGTTATTTTTAATTTGCGAATAGTAGTGACTAGAACATTCTGAAAATCGGGGTTAGAATTGAATTTCAAAACACATTTTAATGTTCTTAGGATTATACGAAGTCAAAAAAGAAAAAACATGGGTTTCGTAATTTTTTACCTATTTTCATGTGTAAAAAATTTGTATTAACAACAATTAGAAATTGTGTTGATTTATTTTCAGGCTCAAAAAGACATATGTATTGTATATCCTGTATATCCTGTATATACCACCTAAATTAGATTGAATTTGAAAATATAGTTCAAGGGTCATAAATAAAAAACAATTTTTAATTTTCAGCTTTAAAGGCCCATCTTAGTAATGAAAGCCTGTAAGGAAAAGTTATGTCAATTATTAACTCCATTGACCCCATCTACATGCTGCCAACTTTATACTTTGAAGTGTTGGGACACCCTGTATACCTATAATTCACATACATTTTCAAAAAACTATTTGTATATTTCTAATAATTTGAACATAAGTTTTGTACATTTCAGATTTAATCAAAATAGGCTCACCCTTTTATTTAGGCAAAAATGAGAACGATAAAAATTTCCGCACAATCTGTAACAACCATGGCAAGTGACATAAATGTAAAACTATATTCTAAATACTATGTAAAGCATCTCTATTAATGTCTAAGATCGTTTTTTTTAGTTCCTTTTTATACTGTTTAGTACTATTGTTAACTTTTATATATGAGGATACAATATACAGGGTGTTTCATTCCGATGTGCCAAACGAACACTGATAGAGAAAGTAATTTTGAGCAAAAAAGTTCATATCGACATGTGTTCTAAAACGCCCCCCTGTGGCGCTACGCCCCTTTAAAGGGGGTATTAAGACACAATTTTATTATAATATCTCGAAAATTCTTCGAAATAAATTGATAAAATTTTATATAGAGATATTTATTACGAGGAATTACACTATCTAAATCAAATTGACACAATGTTTTCAGGGGCGTCCCTACGGGGGGCAAGCCAAGGTTCAAAATCCGTAACTTTTTTGTCTATGACGGAAATGGTAAATATTATATAATATATAAACCAGACTTTAATGGTTTTAAAGTTGTTTTTCAATTCAAGCCAAGATTCAGCTGAGTAAAAAATAACTATTTTCTGCAAAGTAAGCAAATCATTAATGTACAACGTAAACAATACAGAGCCTAAAACTGTACCCTGGGGTACATCATATTCGATTTCCGTCAATTCACTGACATCATTATCTATTTGGACACTGAACTCTGTTGCTTAAATAACTTTTTAAATTATTAATTGAATCCTCTCTAAACCCGTATTGATAATTTATATAAAAGTTTTTCGTGAGACAAATATCAAATTCTATAACCAGATCACAAATATCCATTGCAGGTTTACCTCGATTCAAGTTATTATAAATTAATTGTTAATTTGACTATAGACAGTAGATTTATTTCATATCGAGAATTTAATATTTTAAATTTTATTAAGATTTTTACTGTTCTAATTTTGAATATTTTGTCAAGTATCTTAGCTATATTCGTTATCATAGTAATTATCTCATAATTGTTTACCAGACACTGACTCCTGAATTAAATAGTGGCTTTGCAACTGCAGTTTTTAAACAGTCTGGAAAAGTACCTCTATTTATAGCTCAGTTTATTAAGAATGATAATAGTTTAGACATAAATTTACTAATTTTATATTAATATTTTCTACTTCAGCCTTCAGCCCAGAGATAAACTGGGTTTTGTAATGTTGTATATTAAATTCCTCATTTCCAGAATACTTAATATACTCTTCTTCCCCCCAATTTTATTTATCGAAATTACACAAAAATATGCCTATACAGGATAAAAATATATACAAAATTTCAACCAAATATCTGAAAAAATAACAGATATTAATAAAATTAGTTTAATTGTGACTAATACCCTCTATCTAGAAAAGGAAGCTCCCAAATAAAAATGACAAAAACCTTATCATTTTCCTTTTTCTGTCACACTATAAATTACTTTTCTTTAAAAACTATTTGTCCAAATTGTAATTTTTTACTACTAACTAATTTTAATAAATTGCTAACATTGTGAATGAAATTTTTGCATCAGTGTACCTTGATCAAATCAGAAATGAACTTGTCCAAGTGATTTTTTTTCTTCATATAAAGAAATAAACGGAAAGGGGTACCTCTTTATTCCCACATTGTATAAGAGCTAATAACCGAATAAAATTATAACTTGAATGTGGAAAAAAGGTGAGCCTATTTTGCAAATTACGAAATAAAAAAATTACCCAATTTGACATCTGAAACTTCCACACCACAAGCTGAAGGGTGATGTATTGTTTTACCAACTTCAGATCCCAGTAACTTAACACATTCCACTAAAACAAATAAAAAAACAAAATTAAAAACATAGCCAATCGTATAAAAATATTCTATACAATAAAAAAATATATAAACAGATTTTAAATTACATTTTCATAAAATTTTCTTTTAGTACATAAGTGCTGGGTGCGGAACATTAAAATGACCATAGTCTGATAATGGGGATGACTTGGGGGACTATATAAAAAATTAATAAAAACTGCAACTACATGTGTACTGATTTTTAGGGGATAATTTATTTCTTGATGAAAAAATCGATTATTGGTAATGTAATACATTCCAGATACAGGTTTTATACATAAATTTTAAGCCATGTTTTGTTTCAAAACGGTCAATTTTAAGTAATCAGATAATGATATAACAAACAAATATAGTAATTAAATATGACACTTATTTAGATTTCTAGAACAGCAAATTGAATTCTGTAGAATTGCTTTATTATTATTTAACAAATTATTTATTACTCTACTGTCATTACAAATGAAAATATCATAACGCAAAAATATTTTTAACAATACCCACTGATAAATCACTTAAAAAAATTCAAAACAAGAATTAGGATCTTAAAATATTAGAAAATATAGGATTAGAATTAGGAAATATAAAATACCGAAAGATTTTTAAGCAGATTGAATTATTTACCATTTATAATTAGTACCTAGTGTCAGTAAATGGCTAATTTGCATCATCTTCAGACATTTCAAATGCCTTCTATTATTAAAACTGAGAGAGAAATTTAGTAAATTTAAAATTTCTAATGAAGCTGATTATAGTCAAATTTTTAATAAAAAAATCTCTAAAAGAATTTTCCAATAAATGGATCACAAAAAAAATTACAGCAGTCCATAGAGTACTGATTGGATCATCGTAATTGGTTCTACAAGTACATCTAGAAGGCCACTACAAACAAAAAAAAATGTATTTACATCGAGTGTCCCCAGAAATTTTTTGAAGGATGGAGTTGATGGATATGAAAGTTTAAAACTTAAATTTTGTATTAAAAAAATTATTCTGCATTATAAATTGACTAAATTTGAGACATATGCAAACAAAAATCCCACAAGTGATTTTCCAAAAAAATAATCACAGTTGCCATGGGGTATCCACTGAAAAGTATAATTTTTTCTCTAAGTACATCTAGAAAGCCACTATATCCAAAAAAAAATCATCTACGGATGTTTGTCAGCAAACGAAGTAGGAAGACTAGAATTGATTAACAGCACCCATTTTTCAGCAGGACGGTGTATCTTGTCATATAGCTAATCTTACAAAAGATATGGTTTGGATATTAAATTCTTGAACTAGCAGTCAAGCAGCCCTAACCTAAATATCATTGAAACAGTATGGCATCATATCAAAAGATCCTTGTGGTACAACACCAAAGGACAATTCCTAATCTGAAAATCCAGGAGATTTTGGGGATTTCACTCCAGAGTTTTGTTGATCCTTAGTTTGACATTATGCCAAGAAGTTGTGCGTTTATAAAGGAAAAAAGAGACGTTACAGGTTACGTTAAATTATAAACGAACTTTTCCGTCTGCATATTATCACTAGATTTTAAAGCTTTTATTTAATTTTCATTGTAGTTCAGCTATTTTTAAAAATAAATATGGGTCAATCAGCTTCACTGATTACTAAATTTGTGGCAATCATTATTTGTATAGCTGTGGTGAATTTGAAACTTTATTTAAAAATTGCTTCAAATCCGTCTGAACATTTAGTTAGAGCTCATACATGCAAACTGAATTCTAAGGAAAAGACCAACAGGAAAACCACGAAGAAGATTATTAAACAATATAAAAATAGGTATGAAAAATTAGGAAGATAAACAAACTTGAATGCATCTACTAATACGTCGGAGACAGAGATGCTTAAGATGGGACACAGTTCTGTAAGGCGGTAAAAAATATTTCCGAGTAATCAATTTTTTGAAAGATATAAAATGTTTGGATTTTGATCATCAAATCGAAGGTATAACTGTCACATAGGGGGCACTAACATTACGGATGAATCAAAGTTTGTCCGATCAAATAAAAAATCGGCATACAGTGTAGGAAAGTACCGATGGTCTATCAGAAGTTACATGAGAGCGATAAAGTAAGCCATAGAAATCCATGTGATAGACAAAGATGGCTATAATGAAGGCGTCTAATAGTCTACGCCCATTTCGCCCTTCCACAAATAAGAAGTGGATCTTATTTGTGGAAGGGCGAAACGGGCGGTGACAAAGAGAAGCCTTCATTATAGCCATCCTTCGCTATCGCATGGATTTCTATGGCTTACTTTATCGCTCTCACGTAACTTCAGATAGACTATCGGTACTTTCCTACCCTGTATCTCCAAGTTTTTTCTTCTTTGCAATTTATAACACGGTTTTGAAAATTCTGGGAAGCATAATTTCAAGTTGTGTTGAAAATAAATGAGTTATGATTGGAGAGTGCCACTTCGGTGGGTAAATAAGGTGGAGAGAGTGTATTCCACTCATTGATATGGGCCGTTACATATAAAAGAATTTAAAAATGTCTCATTGTCCAAGCTTTGCCTATCAAATAAATACATTCATTAAATGTGTTCCTAATTAAAGCTGTGACGGAATAACAATAAAAATTCATGTTTTTAAAACAATTTTGTTGGCAATTTCTATTAGTAGAAAAGATATTGAAAGTCCAATGGTTATTGGCTAAACTTTGTAAGACCTTTATTATTATTAAATGTATAAAAGAAATCAACTATTACAGCTATCATGATAGGTAAGTTTGTCCTAATATTTTAAGCACAGAGTGTGTAATATTCCCATATCAATATCAATCAATAATAAAGAATTTTAGCTAATTTGATAGAGATATGTATCTAATAAAACTGATAAACGTATGTACAACAAAATAAGAACTTATAAGTTGTTTTAAAATATTTAAGTTAAGTTATTTTTCGCAACCAAATGTCACTAGTTATAATGGGATGTTTTTAAAAGAAAAATTATTTAAAAATCATATCTTTTAATGATCGTCTAAATGTATGGGATCTCTCGTGCACTTCAGCAGCATCTGACTCATGATGTGACTGCGAGTTCAACACGACGACTGCTTATGGTACAGTGTAGCATAGAAATTGCTTAGACACAAAACTTGTTCCAAAACCAAAACAATTGGAACCCACTTTATGCAGGCTGTAACACATGTCAAGAATGAAGGGATTTTTTTTGGTTTTGTTGTAGCCCATAAACAAGTTATTTACATTTGATAACTTGGTCATATATTTTGCAACAAATTTTAAAAAACTTACTTTTTATCGTAAAAATATTAGTTAAATTTTTTTAAAACAGTGACTTGAATGTCATATAATGTGTGTCCGTTTTTCAAGCCGAACCATGGAGATCTGGGTTGTCTTAACGTAATTGGTTGGTCAAATTAGGGCAAATTTATATATCATATAACATATAATACAACCAGAAAATTTTGCATTTTCATTTTATTTTTTTTCTTTTGTGTTGTAAATGCTGAAGAATATATTTCTGGAGAATTTTCATGAAGCGCAAAACAGAAGAAACGACAATAAATGAGCATACATGAGAGGAACCTGCAAATTTATCTCGTGATATAATTATTATAAAATTAAAAAACTTTCTTGAAAATGATAAAAATGTTCATTTTCAAAGATGAAAAAGATGAAAGTGTTACCTCTCTATTTTTATCAAAAATACTCTTCAGTGCTTCATATTTTTCAAAATTTACAAAATTAGTAACTACTTGTGGCATTTCGTTCAGATAACTCCAAATTTGAGGAAAATTCCAAAAAAATTTTTTTGCGTTTCCAAAGAGACCGTTATAGCAAAATGATTTTTTCATATGTGAACATTTGCAAATATTCTCAAGCTCACATTAAAAACATTCTCGTTAACATAAATTACAAAACAAATTTTTTTAATCGAAAGCAAAAGAGGTACTCCCGAAGGTACTCTTTTTGAGCTCAAACTTTATTAGGAGACCTTTTTAATAGAAAATTCAAGTAGTATTAGCCGTCTACTAAGACGGAGAAATGACACTTGACTTTTTTTCGTATTTTTTAATTCAGCAAATTTTTCTGATCAGGACGTGTCAGATATAATTTATTTTTTTGTTTCTGTAAAAATACCTAATTATCCAATTTCGCAAAGAGTGCTTTGAAAATATAATATTGTAAATGTAAATGTGTGTAAATTTACACGTTGTCACTGTAAGCATAACTGAACTGTCATTTGGAGCAGATAATACTTGTACATTTTTTTTTCAATGCACTCTTTGCAAAAGTGAAAAATTTGGTACTTTGACAAATACAAATAAAATAACCATATCATATATCACCGTAATTAATCTTCATTAGTCTTAGCTAGGAATCTTTGGCCTGCCTTTGTTGTTCTTGGCTAGGCCTCTAGGCCTAGCCCAGATGTTCATTTCGGTTCTCGTTGTTGGTTCCGTCCGTAGAGACTTTAGAACCAACAAGAACCAAAATGAATATTAGGGCAGGCCTACGGATTCCGACAGCGGGTCCGGCCTCAAAGAACCTAGCCCGAGAACAAGGGCAGGTCAAAGACTCCGAGCTAAGGCTAAGAAAGTGAAAGGAATTCTGTAACTGATGACATAAACACACAGCATAACAACCCGAAAAACCATTGTACTTTAAATAACAGTTGTGTTCTCCATCCTGATAGGCGCTACAGCTAATATGAACTCTATACCTGAATTTTTCACAACTTTTCTACCATTTTTGATTAAAAAAAAATAAAAATGGAAAACAAATTTTCAATTTTGATCGATACCTAGTCAATAAAATTGTCAAATTTCTCCACGGCATGTTGCTAGTCATCAAATTCCGCAGTTTTCCCTAATTTGACTGACCTAATATCTCTAAATGTAACCGACATCTCCATGGTATGGCTAGAAAATTGAGCACCTGGTATACTTTTGCAAGTTGCAACTCCTTTCATAACAAAGAAGTGGGTCCAAGTATACATTTATCACTCAACAAATTAAACTTCAGTTCTTACATCTGCAATGTAAAACGAGTGTTCCACGATTGTTTCTCTGGACAATTACCTGGAACATATCCTTTTGCCCTGGTTCTTCGATTGTATGCAGAGAGCCACCCAGGCTTCCTAGACTGATTATTAGCAAATGGACTTTGCACGGATATCTGAAACACATCTCCTTTTTGAAACTCTAATTCATCATCTGATGATGGTGTGAACGACTTTATTGCCTGATATAATGCATAGTCCCCCATTTCAAGCCACCATCAACTGTCCAGAGACTAATGCATTTCCTCCACATAACTATTGTTACACAAAATGTTTATAGCCTTTCAGGAAATAAAATACATTGCACTACTCCAAGACAAAAAACATTCCCAGCAACTTTAAATCTAATATCCAAACATTAGTCTTCCTCATCTCTTTAAACTACTTCACAACTCACTTCTTCTTGTTAACACAATATAAAAATACCTTTACAAATTACTTGAAATATACTCCAAATGCATGTAAGGGTGTTTCATATTAAATAGACTCATATCCACCCTCTCCTTTATGGACTATACCATAAAATACAAAAAATATTTTATTATATTCCTATTCAAATTGTATTTCTTTATATTTAAAATAATGTATATTTCTGCCGTATTTTATTAGTCTAAGTCGAAAGATATACAAACAAAACAGTACAAAAAATGTATCATGGCGGCAACGATTATCAAAATTATAATTATAAACGTCAAACAAGTCAAACTGCAGCCAACATGACGAATCTAATTTCGCTAAACTCAACAAGGGAAATGTAAATTAAAATATAAAAATAAATGATTTTTGAAGCCAGTATAAAAATTATTGCTATATTTATTATTGGCACTGTGGAAGTTACTCTAACTAAAATTCGTAAATCGAATATATGACGAGATGAGATGAGACCCATAAATCAAAATCATTCTTTAAAAAAAAAACACATTATCCCTATTTAAAAATGAGGTATCAACTTGAATAACGTATTCTTTCATTCACTCAATTGGCTATCCGTTGGCATTGTTAACATCTTTAACTTCGTAGAATCGTAGACAGAAATTAAGGGACAGGCTTCAAAATTATTAATAACCACAATTATTATCTGCGTGTTTCAAGAATATTTTCTTTAGTCTGTTTTTGTTCATCTATAGAATTTTCGTTTAAAGAAGCTAGATTAAAGAATCAAAACAACCTACTAAATATAACTAAAAAAAGCATATTATTCTCTCTGGACAGGTAAACAGTTTTATATTAGGTATGTACATGATTGTTAATGCACCGTTTTCACAAATTTAAAGTTTGCCTTAAGTTAACCGAAAAATACTTTTAAATGGGAAATAGATTATTCACTATATAATTAGAACTTTTTCATAAATAGGTTTATAAGGAATAAAGGATTGTAACCTTGGGCAAGTCAATCATATCGGAAAGGAGTAAATAATTCTCTGTTTTGTGTTCTGTGGACCTATGAATGCAGCGGGATTTTTAAATTCTTGCATTTTTGGAGAAAAATATTTTTTTTTCACATTTTTACGGAAAATAAATATATAATAACTAAAGCAAAGTGAGTAACAAGGCTTATTACACTAGATGACGTCATGCATAGTTTATATTTTTTGTTCCTCGGAATTTCATTTTTCAACCACCAAGAACTTATCATGCTTCTTTTTATTGTCATTCTGTTATTTTTGTAAAATTTCTGGTGTAGTGTTAAAAAAGTTTTACAATCTGTCTATTTCGATATCTGATATTATTAAATTCACTAATTTACAGTTTTAGAACTTGGAAAATAATGTGGGTGAATAAGTTACATAGGTACTAAATAAAAAAATTACTCGCATAATAATATTTAAATTTGATTACTACATTAAGACATAAAGTGAAGTTTAATTTTCAACAAAAATGTGATGATTTGTACATGGGCGTAACTAGGGGGGTAAGGGTGTGTACGGCCCACCCCAGAAAAAAGATCTAATTATCATCTTTATCAAAACGGTAAGTTGGTGACTGGGTGGACCTGTTAAACGTGTTCAAATTTTATATTAGTAAGCCGAGGTTTTTTGTAAAGACCGCCATAGAGCTTACAACCCTGGGCCCACCCCAAGCAAAAATTGTAGCTACGCCCATGGATTTGTATCTGTTAAAATGCAAAAAGAGAGTCGTGTACCATAATAAAGCTTGATGTTTTGCACACGAAAGCAGCTCTACCCCAAGGATTTTATACAAGAAAATCCTTGGCTCTACCCACCCACCAATAGACAGCAGGATACCAGTGAACAAGAAACAAAACAGAAAGAGAGCGACAGTAACATAAAACGTTTTTGTTCCATGAGCGTAGCTACGATTTTTGCTAGGGGTAGGCCCAGGGCTGCTATAAGCTCTATGGAGACTCAAGAAAAAAAAACGCAATCAACGACTGCTTACTGATACAATATTTCAAAACCTAAGCACTTTTTTGTTTGATCCTAACAAAAAAAAAAGTGGCGCAGACAGCGATTTACCGATATGAGAAAAATGATATTGGACCTTTTTTTCTGGGGTGGGCCTTGCACACCCCTGTTTGCCCCTAGCTACGCCCATGTACACGTCAACAGTTAATACAAGATACGGTGAGTTCAGAATCTTCACTACATGTTTGTACTGAATTCCCTAAGTTGCCAACTCTTCTTAACAAAAATATTTAGTGCGTTTTACTGAAATTCTACCGAAGCCAATTACAAAACGGACTCTTAATTTTTTTTCGAACGTTTCCATAAAAGAAAATCTAATCTGATGTTTATATTCTAATAACGGTAGACAAAACTTGTAGCTTCGTGAAAATTAATGGACGTTTCTGCAAATAAAACAAAAACTGAAAGTTAGAGTTAAATTGTACTATTACCAACTTTAATTTTATAATTAGAATTCCTACCTTTAAAATAGCATATTTTTGTAGACTTACTTCACCATATTTATGAATTTACCAAAATGGAAAATGTAATTAATTTTTATATACAAAATAAATGTTCTTAATTACATCCATTAAAAAAAATAGGTACTAGTTAATAAAGACCATATATGACGGTTTTATAAATTTAAAAATTCAAGAATATTTATTGGGGTACCTATATTAAAAAAATATATAATAATAACGCTTTGAAAAATATATTAATATTTAATAAATAATTTACATAATACATAGTTTACATATATATATACTTATAAAAAATAACTAAATATTTCAATATACATACATAGCATTCAATTCCTTTTCATTGAATTATGTTGTGATAACAGCCTTTCTATTGCCATAGCAATTAGAATATATATGTATATATTTGGAAATTTGGAAGTAATTCCTTTTCCTGATTTAGAACATTATTTTATTTATCATAAGCACTTACTGAAATACAACCGATCAGTACACCGATTTTGTAGAATAAACAACTTGTTCGGCTTACATCAGAACTATTTCAAATTGTGTTTTTTCATTATAACCAATAAGTTAACATTTTCATATTTTTTATTACCCTCTCTACGTCGTCAAGTAGGTACCTAACAGTTAAAAACAGTTATTGAAAGTAGAAAATACATTTTAAAACTACGTTATTGTATTTTAACTGACATTATTTTTTTTTATTTTGTTGTCACATTGAATTAATACTTTTTTTTATTAAATAAATACAGTAATAGATAATAAACAATAAACTACTTTTTAATGAATTTGAATGGTTTCTAATGATATTCAATAATTAAAAAAATATACAGCATATTTGTTGTTTAACATTTTTAGTATCTTATAATTTCATTTATAGCTTTGAAATAAGATATTGGTGCAAATTGATTCATATTACTTATTAAATGTAGGAGTTTTACCTTCTTTCACGATTCGTAAAGCACGTAATACTGATACCTTGTCTATCTCAGCTTGAGAAGGCCTCTCGTTATCTAGACATATATATTTTGCCCGCTCTCCAAAAAATTCCAACACTTTTATCCTATAATCCACCGTCGTTGCTACATTATTACCAGTAAGTATAAAGTTTTCCAAACATGGTAAACCTCCAACATATTTAATTTCATCAATTTCCATTATTTTATTAGAACTTAAATCTAAATTTTCTAATGAATATAATTTACAAAAACCTTTACATGTTACAATATTATTTTGAGATAAATTCAAAGTTAAAATATTTCCTACTTTTGTGTGCAAGTCGTTACATATTGTTATTAAATTGTTGCTCAAACTTAAATACGATAAGTTTGACAAGCTCGATAAATTTGAAATTGTAGATATTTTATTGTCATTTAAAATAAGTTTCTTCAAATTTGGTGCCAAATTAATAGTTGCATCAATTTCTATGAGGTTGTTATTACTTAAATCTAATATCTCCAACGCTCTCCATTTCTAAAAACAATTTAGAATATTATTATTAATATAATAAAATTCATTAATTAGAGTAGATTAGATTTTAAGATATTCCTTGAATGGTTTTCTTTTTTTTTGGTATTTTGTCACTGAAAAGTTAAACATCCAGTATTAACTTTAATAAACATTTTTCAAAATAACAAATGTAGTGTTTGCTAAAAAAATGAATTTTGTAAGCACAACTTATTCATTAAACAAGTGAGGTAATTTTCTTCAATCACAAAGAAAATATTTTTTTTAAAATATTTTTAGTTAAAGAATTGGTTAATTTAAACGAATTTTTTATCTTTTGGAACCTTATTACATGTGTATGACATTGCTAAGCGAAAAATTAGGTAAATCACTAAATCTGTTGCAGCACTGATGGGAAGGCATTAACTGGAAATTTAATTAGCATTTTATGGATATTTGCTAAAATAACTTATTTAAGTTATAAACCACTAACTACTAATATTTGGAATTTCTAATTATATCTTTGTTTGCAAACAAATTCTACGTTTGTCAGTTTAGTGGATTTGAAATTTTCACTTAATGGTGGCACAAGGCAAATTTTAAATTTTTTAGGACTTCAATAAAATCAAAACGAAAAAAGAAAACATGGGTCTCATAATTTTTAACCTATTTTTATTTTATGATGTAGTTAAAAAGTTGAAAAACACTAGTATTACCTATCTTTACATCTTAGAAGTTTGTATATATAATTTAAATTATTTACAGTGCAAAATACTCAAAAGAAAAATAAAACTATCTAAGTAATACTACTAACAAATACAGAATGTAACTTTAAGTGGAGGTTCAGTTTTAGTATGTATTCTCCTGAATACGAATCTGATTATTTTTTTTTATGAAATAAATAATTATAATTTTTTTAAACTGCACTTTAATTCTTGTGTACCCGTAATTTACGTAATAATGCAAAATTTCAAGTATGTCATATGCAGTAAAAATCGGGTGAATAAACAGATTATTTACTTATTTTTATGTATTTCATTTATCGTTATTGATTAGTGCTCGAGTTTTCTGTTAGATTACTTGTTAAGTATTGTTTCATAGTTTATCTATTTAAAAGTGTTTCTGTGGGACTTCAGGGCTCACCACTCAACAAAAGTAGGTAACACATCAAAGAGCAGTACCTCACGGCGGATGGTGTGGAAATTTGCTTTTAATAACTTTTCCTTTAAATTCCTTTAAAATTCCTTTAAAATCCTGGTTCGCAATTGTGCATGTGCTGCGCACCATTGTTTGAGGTCACACTAGCTTGTTCAGGGCAGGGTATGAAAATTACCAATAAAAAAGGTTAACAAAAGATTAAATTTTTACGACAGAATTTGAAAAAATAAACTATTAATATATGTTTTTGAAGATCAAAGGTAGTATCTATATAAATAAGACCCCCACTCAAAGTTGCACCCTGTATATTGGACATTTTTCTATAGCAAAAGAGATATTTGAATTTCTTACCAATGTCGATAATACTCTACATAAAGTATTTAAATATTTTAAGTAAGGAACTTACCTGACTACCTTCCAAATTATATTTATGTATAACGTCACACTGAAGTATTTGGGAAATACTTGTAGTATTAGTATTGTCTACGAATAACTGTGTCAGAGTATTTCTTAAATTTCCCAGTGAAAATATCATGTCAAACGACACATTTTTAATATACAATACACTTAAATTCTGAAAACAAAGAACAATATCTATGTATTAAATTACTTTTTTCGTAAAGTTAATATTATGGACTAGAAGCAAGATAACCTTTTTGAAGATTTAATGATCTTTAATATTTGCTCGAGTAAAAAAGTAATTGTGCTAAAATGTTTATAAAAACAGCTTTAAGATTCTGTAACTCCATGAATATTAATTTTTCGAAATGTCAGAAATTTGTACCATTATTTTTACGAGTGAAGCATACCACCCAATACAATAAAAAAAATATATATTGAGAAATATAGAGATACTAACCTTATATGCAGATAATTCAAATGGTAACTTATTTAAAATAATATTACTATTTAAGAAGACAGATGAACTTCCTTGTATGTTCAAAGCATGTAGCTGCGAACATAAATCTAACACTGGGCTTAAATCAAATCTAATTTCTGTATTGTCAACTATTGGGTACGGTTTTTTCAGAAACTGACTTATCGCATATAACTGAAAATCAAAATTGCTTATAGAAGTGATACAATACTTACTTATCAGTGAATCAATTTTACCTTTAATGTATTAAAGCTATATTGTTTATTAGTTGACAAAACAAAGTCAGCTTCTAAAAAGCAGTTTGTAGATAAATCTTGTAATAAAAAGAATGAATCGTATATATTAAAATTTAAAAAATCAACTAAAACTTTGGGCATTGTTCGTTTCAGGAAGATAAAAATTTTCTGTAAATATTCTTCTAACCCTTTTCTTCTGCGTTCAATGAATTGTGGGCATTTGTTTCTAATAACTTTTTTTGATGGTAAAATATCTTTTGAAACCCCATGATCCACCACTAGATGATAATGCAAGTCATTAAATTCACTGTAGCGATGAAGAACAACCCATTTAACGTCACCGACTTGTACTTGTATTTTATAAAAAGTAACATTCGCCACCTCTTCAGTGGACGGTACTTCTAGTTTTGTTTCATTTTGGTTGAACCAAAAACAAGCCATTTGCCATTTGTAATTTAAATTATTTTGAAGGTAAACATAACCTCGAAGTAATTACAAAACTGTCACTACCATAGCACAGAATAAAATACAAATTTTGTGACCATAGATTGGTAGTATAGTATAATATGGATTGCATATATAAAGAGAGATAAGGGGCCAAAATATAAAGTGAGATGAAATTAATCTCGAACTTGCGTCACGTGACTTGGGTAAGCTTAGCAAGCACGATTTGTTATATTCATTACGTGATTACGCGGTATTAAGTATTATTGCGTATTTTACGCTGCAGGATCAATCGCTCGAGCAATTTTTGCAGGACCACGAGGGCGCCATAGCGTACGGACCGAAGTACTACGGAACAGTTGGAAGTTGTATATCACTTTACTCAAGGCAATACCGATGGCCGCCGGTCTGACGACACATTGCGAGAGGGCGACCAACCACACCCCCATTCTCCTACGCAGCGAGAAGATCGCCAAGAGGTGAACTACGGAGAGAAAAGGTGAATTATTAATATTATGATACAGAACGTAATAAGGGAAAAACGTGCGGCCAAAAGAAGAGCCACGACCAGTCTTCCTAGCAGCAACACCTGGAGTCACTAAACCACGAGGACTGTGGTCTGGAGGGAACGACGGGCACTGAGGTCCACCCGGAAACCTACGTCTCCGATTCACGACGAGAATGGCAACGTCTATACAAGGTATGAGAAGACCAAGGCATTCGCCGACAGCCTTGAGACGATCAGACAGCGAAACCTTTTCGAGCGCACGGAGAACCACACCAACCTTCTGATCCAGAACGCGATGCAATAGTGCGTTTTCTAAGCTGCGTAGCTACACAATCTTATTTAATCCCACCACCCACGACACTCTCGGGGATTTACACAGACGAGGTGGCCGACAAAGAAGAAGAGCGCCAGAAGAATGACTCCAGCTGGCGGGGCCATACCTACAACAGGAGGAAGCCTCACGAACCGTTGGAACTCGGCTGTGTTAGCAGTCCGGAGTAACGGGGGAAAGGCCTATCTCTAAAAGGCGTCCAGGGCTACAGAGATGGTGTGGGTATAGAGCGATAATCCCACTCGACCCCGCCCCATCAGTAGTCATTTTTCTTGCCAATGATATTGGATCGAGTTTCTCTAATGAGAATGATTCAATTCTGAGCGAACAGATGTGCAGTGTGGACGTTTCTGTGTGGAGAAACAATAACGAGTAAGGAACAGTGAAGTGACAGCCCCACATAAGCTTGCCTTTTACAAAACAATTCTGTTAATTGTGCTTTTCTTAAGGCAATTTATACAAAATTCGTTAATTCTGCTAACGTATCTAATTATCGAGGCTTCTCAGCCTAGGCAGACAGACCACTGTTATTCTTTTTTCAGGAATGAGTGCCGGGGTGAAGCAGAAAGAAGCCCCAACTCCATGGACCAGTCGGATGCTGGAAGAAGCTCCGACAGCAAGTCGGGCCGTAGAGGAAACAAAGTGAGTCCCAGAATATGCCGTCACTATCACCATGCAGGACTTTCCGAGAATGGTCCAAGAAAAGGAAGAACTACAGAAGACCGTCGAAGCTCTGTACAAGAAAGTACAGGACCTAATCATACCAATGAGGACATAAGAAGAATGGGCGGGTTCAAAAGCTGCCGACATGGCGGTGTGATAAAAACGGACAAAAAACGCAAGGAAAGAAATAAATAGAATTTTATAGAACATATTTTATATCGGCAAATTCAACTGTTTTGCCTTTATTGTTATTATTAATTGATAAAATTAATTTATGTTTTTAAATAATAAAATCATTTGACATACCCGATGTTACAACAATTGTTCAAACTTTTATTCACCAACATGTAAACACATTTGGGGCCGTCTCACTCAGTTTCCACGAACTAACACAAATGCTGTCTTGTTTCACTATAACACAAATGCTTCACCATAATGCAAATGCTTCACCATAATGCAAATGCTGTTTTGTGTCACTACAACACAAATGCTTCACCATAATACAAATGTTGTCTTGCTTCACCATAAATTAAAACGATATCCATCAACTCCGAGTTGTTATACACGCAAACCATTTTTTACACTAACTACTAAAAAACTATTGTAAATACCACATATAACAAGTAAACAGTATCGCAACGACGATTGCAAAATCGGATATCAGTATTCCGAGTCGCTGAGGCCACGCGACTCTCCACGCGTATTGCGAATGAGGCTAGAGGCTACAGTTGTCCAGCTATGTATTGGTTGAATGTACTATAACTTCAATAATTTTTTTCTCGGAAACTATAGATTATACAAAATTTTTTTACGATATTGACTCCATTTCTCATGACGCATCTATTCCCAAATTTTTTTGGATAAGTTGTAAATCACCCTGTACACAAATATGTATTTCAAATTTTATCCGGTTTTAAAAAAAGTTTTTTATTAGAAAAATTCATTTATGTTTTAAATGGTTTAAATACACACCAACAGAATATGCTTACACATGGTCGCTTAAACACATAAATATCATTCTTCTGAACAATAAACTTTTAAGACTTGTCCATACAAAGCATATGGCAATACTGGCAATCTTAAGAACGGAAATTGAAGTCGCGTTTCATCTAACAAAGTACTACAATATTCATATAGATGTCGCTACAGGAAATACGTTTATAGTAAAAATAGTACGATTATTTCATTCATTCAAATTCCGGCAAAACACACCTAAAAAAAACGAGAAAATGCCAGGTGCACGCACACGTGCACGATAATGAGTTGTCCGGTCTATACGTCCATCCCACTCTCTTGCTATCTCATAATTGCATATGAAAAGAGAAGGGTAATAAAATAATAAAAACTCCAATTTGCGGCCGCCGGTTTTTTGTTCTGAAAATATTTCTATTTTCTATCTTCTACATATTATTATGTACATATTTACAAAAAAGGAGGATGGCAAGTGGTTGTACAAATTTATAATATTTGCAGCCAACTAAAAGTTTTATTTCATATTATTTTCTACATTTTA